GCACCCCCCACCCCGCGCGCTTACATCTAGGCCAACAAGAGTGATTGGTATAAGTTGTAAAAACTTGTTTTATAATTGCTGTTAAATAAATGAAGTTTTTATATATATATATTTTGTTAAACCTTGAACATAAATAAAAAGACAATAACGTACAGAAAAGTGGTGTTTCATTAATGGCACAGTTAGTAAGCAGACAAAATAAAGGAAAATAATATGCGGTCAATCGCTAGTTTTACAGGTCACAACTTCGTAATGGCTTAAATGATTTCCATTCAACTTATTACCCTACTTTCTTTTCTTTTGAATTGCAGTTTATTTTCATTCCATGATGTCGAAAATAATTTTAATATGTGAACTAGTAAACTGATGAATGGTGAAATAAATCGCTACAACATTTTGTATAGCCTGTCCTTTGACCTCTAGTTTGTAAACGATGTCTTGGTTTCGAAACGGTACTGTACATGTTGCTAGTACTTGTATAACGTGTAGGGTTCCTGGTGGATTTTAAGGGTAAACATAGCCTTGAAGCAATTGCTACAGGGAACATTAATCTCATAAGAGCTATTGTCAAGCTGTCTTAGGTTTAAGTTATACCAGATACAGGAACATGATCATCAGCAGCGGTGATACCCGGAAGTGTGAATGTCACATGGACCGCAGGCAGTTACCCGTATGTGTATGACCCTGGGGTTAATATAGCGTCTTAAACATGGCGAACACAAGACTTCACATTGTTGTTTGAATGTCGTTATTAACACAGAGCAGTGAAAACCGTTCAACGTACATATGTAATGGAATATATAAATAAAGCAAAACACAAAGACTAGTATAATCGGCTAGCGCTGTCGCCCATCTTGGGGCTCTTCAGGCGATTTAAATGTATTTGTATATATGTATATGATATGACGTCAATAGTACAATGTATCTTTCATTTATTGTTGTATATTTCAAATCATTTCTGCCCTGTGCATCCAGTAATACATTCTTTATTTGTAATAAGCAAACGATTAGCTAAACGGAGGATTCCAAACTTAAAGGTTTGTTTACGTTTGTTGTTCACTTTGGTGTTTACACCATTGTTTAGCCAGTTTTGGTAGGGAACGCTCACGAAAACGAATAAATCGGCTAGAACTGAAACTTATCTCCTTTACACATGACAAAATTATAGACACTAAGACTTAAGTCACGTGGCGCTAATGTTACATGTAGGAGTAATTTAATTGATAGCTGGTATGGAAGAAACTAGCATCAACATGTAGTTTATAACGGGCCTTAAGAAGAGGTCAAAGGGCAAACACGCTGATTGGTTATAATTTCGTACATGTATCTATATGTGATAACGGTAGTTGCAAATAATACACAGGGGCTAGACACACTAGTTACATGTAAGAGTGTCACAAGAGGGACAAGATACATTGTTATCGGGATTAAGTTTTAGGAATGACATTAATACACCACACACATACACATTAACACATTTCATTCACACACATATACACATTTATATTCCTTATACCAATACCAAGATGTTTGGGTCAATATCAACGTATTTGGCCCCTGTGCCTTTCACAGTAAATCATATTTAGACACCTGTAACGAACAAAATGTTTGACAATGGGATTACATATAACTTAAGGCTATATGGTTCCTTACTGTAACGTGCAAGTTCTGTCCTAGAGAGCTCCACTGTAGTAGACAGCCTGATATAGAACATGAATATGGAAATTTTGGCTTAATTCTTTTTCTAAACCCACGCATTGGAAACATTATGTTTGTTTGTTGTTTTCATTCTATTTATTTACTTGTTTATTTATTATCCTTTTAACTATAAAAGTTATTAATTTATTTAAGTAATGCTTATTTAAAATTTAAAGGAAGATAACTCAACATTTAGTAATATTTTCTTCCAGAAGAGAAAATACCACAAAATGTCCCTAAACCGCACAGATACACCGTATCCCCGAAATTGTAAGTTATCTCCCATCTCTATCGACCTGCATGATTTCATCACACTTCCCATCCTTCTATACCATTGACAACATGAACCCTATATACCCCTATCCCACGCAACCATATACATACATCACCATCCTCCATCCTCCATCTACCACCAAGGTGTTTGAAATAAAAGTTAGTCATATACATGTATTAACAAACTCACCAAGGTGTCTATTTTGAGTTCCGACTGAATAAGAATTTTCCCCGTGCCAGCCGGTTTGTCCAATATTGTAGGTTCCTGGAACATTCTCTGAAATTGTCCGTGTGTCTGTTCCATAACAAACACCACCAGCAGGATTAAAACTAAGCGGACACACATGGTCACTGGTCAAGACACAACACAAAAATGACCAGCACTGCAGCGTCCTGTTTTTTTATGTTACACGTAAATCAAGATAACCATCCGGGTACGTTATCAATGGCCGCGAAGATCGTCAATCACAAATTCAGTCAAGCGCAACGAATGTCGGTTTCTTAGAATTTAAACCGAGGCTCAAGGTAGTAAGCTGTACCGATATGAAGAGTTGCCCCCGGCCCAATACTGATCATAGGTAACGTGTATACCTACACCAAACTTCCTGTATTACTTTATATGAGTACGCCGATGAATCATCTCGCATTAAATATCGATTTAATGTACATTTGAAAATATTAGTTCGATATCAATATTTATCATGGGAACGAGAAAATTACAAAAGAGTTATATATTTCCTATGACTTAAGACTTACATGTACTTCTTTCTCAATAGAGTGCAGATATTACAAATTTCTCTGTTCTTAGAACTTCCGTTAGCACGCATTGTGTTGTTTGCTTGCAAAGCTGTGTCATTCAAATAGTTCTCTTCGTCTTATGTTCTTTTTTAACTTACAATCTATATTTAAATTAAAGATGCCCGCCTTATCGACAGTCCACACAATTTCGTTCAATACTTTGAACAGCGTATTGTCGCATGCTGATTGGCAAACAAAGTAGTACTTTGAAATTTAACAAACACTTCAATTTTATTCCACAATTCAGTATCAATACAATTACGTATGATATGTCTATACTATAGGGTGATATAAGTTTATCAATAGAAATTTGAGCTGAAAGTTAGATTTTCCCCCGGAACAAATTTCGCGCATCGATAAATACAGTGAACACCGTGAATCCGACCTTGACCTCTACGAGGAAGTTATTTTTGGAAGTTAATTCGAAAGTTTCTCTTTGTTCATTTTGTGAAGAATCCAGACTTGAATTTATTTGTTGATTGTATGGGAATCTGACTACAGTCGGTAGATTCTATAACCTCGTTATTTGACATGTGATCAGAAACTGGGGAAACCATGGTTGCGAGACGCGTGAAACTGATATCATGTGAGGTGAGTGATCTTGCGACGGAGCACATGAGTTCGTTACAAATGTCTGAAATGTTTATGCGTGCTGTGACTCATATCAGTAGGTCTGTAACATATGTGTCAGTAGGTCTATAGAATATGTGTATTTCAGACATTTGTAACGAACCCCTGTTGATCAGTGCAGTGTAACAGACGATATTTCTACTAATTTGTTAAAATTGTTTCCATTGCCGGCATTGGTGATTTCAACCGATGTGCATTTTGTACGATATTGCAGACCTTGGTCTTGTTTTTGTTGTAATAAAAGTATTTTTTATTTACTTTTTTCTTTTGCACATAAATTTACAATGACATTGTCAAGTCTCACAATGCCCAGCGATATTTCAGCAGCCGTCATGTTTATTTACATTGGATATTGTAGTTCCGGTCAGTGTTGTATTAATACGCTAAGAATTGTGTCTCGTGCTGCATGGTAATTAAAGTCCCATCAACGACACGGCTTTCAAAGAGGCTATATAGTGACAATGCACTGCAAAAGTAAATATATGGTTTTGAACATGTAGCAATGTTTAGAGATGCAAATCCGTTGCTACATAGCACGGTATCGTTGCCACCAGTGTTTGTTGTTTCGCCGGTTTGTTAAAGGTTTGCTAGTACCTACAATGTGTGTCTTCCTACGGAAACTCTCAATCGAGCGCGTTACTGGGATTGTACCCGTAAATTCACTTCCGGTTTGATTTGAGTTTAATTTGCAGGTACACAATTCTTCTATCACACGTGTCGTTTTTATCCACTGGTGTAATGGATATGTTTAGTCTGGTTTAGTATTGTTTAACATCCTATCAACAGCTATGGTTGTTAAGGACGTCCTCTCCTGTGTGCAGGATGCATGCGTGTAGTGTATGCGTGTGTGTTTTGGGAGGCTGCGATATGTTCGTGTTTGTCTCCTCGTGATAGCGCGGAACTGATGCCGACATTATAGTGCTACCTCACTGAGACATACTGCCGAAGACACCCAGCAGGACACCCCACTCGGTCACATTAAACTGACAACGGGCGGTCCGCTCCTACATTGATGAGCGTTAAGTAGGAGTAGAAACTACTATTTTTACAGTCTCAGGTATGTCTCGGCCAGGGGACCGAACCCAAAGCTTTCCTCACAGGGGCGAAGGCTCAACTTAAGGCCAAAAGTGAGGCATTGTCAAGGGAGACATAAGGAAGAAGAACGTTGTTTAGAAAGAAGAGAAAAGATAAGATACCAAATTTGACGCCTCTTACGATCATGTAATGTGGGCAGCAGGTACAATTCTTACGCCCTACCTGCAGGGACTGGTGTAATGGAACACATTAAAACTAATTTTAATCCGAATTCTAGTGGAAGCCAATTGTTATACTGTACCAGAATGATCAAATGATATTAATGAAGAGGGTGTTTGTTCTATAATTGATGCAGGTGTGTTGATCATTTAACATACTTGCTTGTGGAAAATATGGTTTCCTGCCAAAATAGGACGCTATTTATTGGATGAACTACCTATACACGTAGATACGATATTCCCTGACAATAAACAAAGTTCATGTTGATATAAACTGTTTATTTAGATTTTAAATTTCATTACATGAACTGTACAAATACACGCAAGCGATTATGATAAAGTTTGTTTGTTTGTTTGTTTGATTTTGTTTAACGTCCTATTAACAGCTAAGGTCAAAAGAAAATATGCCGAGCGCTCAAGATAGCTAATGCAGAAAATAACATTGTGCATGTCCAAATGTACCACAGTAGAAATCTTTTCATCTTTTTAACAAGTGTGTGGCCTTATAAACGTTTGTTATTTGATAATGATAATATGGGTAGGAAGGGACCTGTAACAAAATAAATGTTATTAATCCATAAAAAAATAATCTTAAAAGTATGAATACATTTTTAAGGATAATACAATTTTATTTACTCAACATATCAATGTTTGTATGACTTAACCAAAGTTTTTCCACAGGACAATGGAGTTTTGAACTCTTCTGAATACTATTTCTCACTTTGAGCTGTCGAGAAGATACATTCCCCATAAAACAATACATTGCTATATAAGTGATACGAACGACGTCAATGATCTTTCTTGTGGTAGTATTGTATATAAGACAATGTTTTGGGATATTTTTAATGTTCGTCTAGATACAATTTAAGACTGTCATCATGATTTTTATGAAAGAAATAATAATTCAAAACTGCGTTTCATGCGAAGCCTGGTAAGGCAAATCTGTATAATACGGGAACCGTAATTGTAATAGGAAGAAATAACATCAAAACTTCTGTTTCAATATGCCTTTAGATGGGTATGTGAGTGTGTATTTGTGTGTGTGGGTGTATTTGTGGGGGTGTATATGGGTGTGAGTGATTGTATTGTTTATCCTTGAATATATGTTTATTTTGAACTGATGAGCCGTAAGGTTCAAGGTAATAAAGAACTGAACTGAAGATCTAGTGATGGACGAGTCAGTTGACATAGTTTATGATAAGCGGTTACATAACTCTTGCATGGAGAACCGACTCTTTACATACACTTTTTTTGCTGCGTTAAAGTCGAATACTATTAGGGTTTCTTCTGTAATCGTTAACGTTTGTGTTTTAATTTTATCAGGACATGTGTTTAAAAAACCAGTACTGGTGTTAGGTACATCAACAAACTAAATACATTGATGTATCATCAGCAAATAACTTGATCATAACAGAGATGCCATAGGTGATATCATAAATGAACAGCGAGAAAAGTAAAGGCCCGAGGATATAATCCTTTTATTTTGGCACACCATCAGTAAACGCCGCCCCATTGATCACACCATTGACACAACTAATTAATAGGCCAATTTAACAATTTACCACGTACTCCAAAACTAGAAATTTTCGCTCGTGCCAACAATACCACACTTGATCAAATGCTTTGCTGATGTCGAACACATACCATTATAACTTCCTTACCGTTGTCTGAAGCTTTGTTAACGCCATTGGATTTACGCAACAGCTGATTAAAAGTCGAATCGCCGTGTCAGAAACCTGATTGCGTAGAATTAGGTAAAGTGTGATCTAAACGATAATTACCTGTTTGTATGAATGATAGTGTAAGCAGACTTTTCTATTACTTTTATCACTATAGATAACAGAGAAATCGGTCGGCAATAAGCTATAAGAGAATTGACGTCTTTCTTATAAAGGTCAGAAATGTTTTCCTTTTTCCATTCATGTGGGAAAAAATACTTGAAAATGATTTGTTAAAAAGTAGATCCGGGTTGGTAGGTTTAATGTTGCCATAGATAGTGTTTAGATTAAGATACCGTTCTCATACTCACGAATTGATTTGTGCGCAAACTTACTGTCCAATAACGTCGTAAAATCATTCGACGGGTTCAAAAAGTTAAGTCCAGACATTGTTAATGCTATTCAACTTCCAGTCTACAGGTTTCGGTTTAGTGATATAAGTATCAATAGGTTGATATAAAGGACAACTTATCAAATGTTTTTATAATGATAACCGTATGATTACTTACTTTTTCATGGAGTATCAATGCATCTATTATTACATGTCCTCACCATATATTTTTCTTTTCTTCATTTATTTACATAAACTTGTAGTGTTATCATATGTTAGCCATGCATAAGACCACAAGCTTGTAAGATGAGAAAGATTTAGGTAAGTACACAGTACTAAGTACACAGTGCTTGTTTCCTCATCATATTTGCTTATCTGATTTGTAATATTCACGTCACTTTTTCTATTACTTTAATAAAAAAATAAAAAATAAAATGATATTCAGCTTCAACTATCTCCAAAATGCTCCTCAAATCAATGACAACATACATGATGTTTTTTAAAGTGATAACCAGATTTGGGGTGACCACATAATCTGAGATTGACCATCGGAATGCGGTTTCATGAATACGGGTCCTGGATAATGGAAAGGTACATCACGGAATTTCTTCTATCGGGATAAATAGGTTGGTTGTTGGTGCTTTGCTCAAAGAATCAGGTTGAGGTTCATGACCTTGATAACAGTTCC